GTTGTAACTTCAAAATTTAAAAAATTTAATATATTGAATATTAATATAATATCCAAGGTACATTGGGCACCAGATACAGAAGAAGGTAAATTAGCATTCTACAGTGTTAGCATTGATGGGAAAATAAACTATTGGATATTAAATCAAAATGATCTTGGTTTGACAACTGTAATGACTCTTTTTCTGGATAGACCACCAATACCTGGACCAGATGGAACTATGATTACACTAAAAGGTAAATAAATTTTTTAAAAGATAATAAAATTTTATATAATTATTTTTTTTACTTTAATAAATTTTAATATAATTTACTAGGTTGTGGAACATGTTTTGCATTTCATCCTACAAATTATAATATATTCTTGGTTGGAACAGAAGAAGGAACAATTTATAAATGTAATACAGCATATAGTAGTGTTTATATGAATACTTATAATGAAGCACATAATATGCCAATCTATCAAATAGTTTACAATAAATTCAATTCTAGTATATTTGCAAGTTGTTCTGGTGATTGGAGAATAAAAATATGGGAAGATGACAGAATGTAAATATCAATTATCATTTATAATTATTTAAATTCTTATTTTCTTCTTATGTTCATTAATGTTATAAATTTTTTATAGGGAACCTCTTTTTATGTTTGATCTTAATGTTCCAATTGGAGATGTTCAATGGGCACCATATAGTTCAACAGTATTAGCTTGTGTTTCAAATGATGGAAAAGTTACAGTTTTTGATTTGAATGTAAATAAATACAGACCAATATGCAGTCAACCAGTTGTGAATAGAAAGAAATATAAATTAACTAAACTTGCATTTAATAATAAATTACCATTCATTATAGTAGGTGATGATAGGTAAGAATTTGTTTTATAATTATATTTAATAATATAATCATTTATTTAATAAAAATAACATATATATTTATATAAACAGAGGTACAATAAATACATTAAAACTGTCACCAAATCTCAGATTGAAAGTAAAACCAACCAAGAGACAACTTCATTTAACTCATAGAGAATTAGAAATTTTAAAATTAGAAAGATTATTAAGTTTTGTACGTGAACCACTTGTTTTGCCACAACCAAAAGATACAAGAGTGGTATATAATTAAATTATATTTTTAATCATAAATATATTTTATGTATGTATTTTTTTAAATAAAATATATTTAAATATATTATAGATATCATTTTTTATCATTATTATTATATTATATTATGAAAAAACTTTTTATGTTAAACATCAACACTTTATTAATATTTTCTATAACAAAAAATACATATCAATACCTATCATCAATATCTTTATAAACAAATTGGCACTAAATTTAGAATAATTTATAAAATTAAACTTATCTATTGCTATAACATGTCTTCTAAACTAGAAGCAATTATTAACGATTATGAAACTACTATAATATTATTCTTTATAAATAGAATTATGAAAATTTTTGCAATTCCATACATATAACAATGCCACATACTTTCATATAAATCTACTTTTAAATACTTCTAAAGAATAAGTTTGTGATTTTAGAAATACATTTAATTGCATATATATATATATATATATATATACACATATATATACACATATATACACATATATATAAAATTTAATAAATTTATTATTTAATATATATTTAATAAATTTAATATATATTTAAAAAGATATTAATTAAAAGAGTATTTATAAATATTGCATAATATTTTTATAATTAAAAATTCAATTAATATTTTTGAAAGTTTTAATTCAATAATACATATGTAAATTCTTTATAAACTTAATACAAAATATTATCATTATAAAAAATTTTATTTGCAGATATTTCAAATATAGTAAGCACTGGCTATCACAGTGTCTGTTACATTTATTTTTAAATAAATATTTATATTATATAATTTTTTCTTATATCAAATAAATTATTAAAGTTATTAAATATATGAGGTAAATAAATATTAAATAACATATAAAAATATAAAAAAATATATTATTCATAAAAATAAATAATTTTTGTATCATTGGCACATTAATTTTTTTATGTAAAACAAAATAAAAATAAAATTTGTATTCTTATTATTATTAATACTGAGATTGCATATGAAAGAATTAAAATTATAAAATATTACTTTCTAAATATTTATATATTTTCTTTAGAAATTTATATATTTTTTTTAGAAGAAAAATTTTTGTGTATATAACTTATTATAACTAATAAGTTTTAATATCATATTTAAAACAATCTATAACTTTTTTAGGAACTTGAAACATCTAATAATTCATCATTAATGAAATTAAAAAAAGTAAAATTTCTTATCAATAATATTTAATAATTATTTAAATACAATAAAAATTTGTTGGTATCTATATTTATTATAAATATTAAAAAATATATAACATCTACATTTTCAAGGATATTTTATAGAATCCTTTTTTATTCCATATAAATTTCTAATCAAATTAATAATAATTTCTAATTTATGATGATTAATATATAATCTTATAAAATATCAGAAAATAATATTTTTCATTTGAAAATACTATAATACATTTCTAATTTAATTTTTTATACTAATTTAGATAAGATTAAAATCATAAAAAAAGATTATAAAGTCTCAATATTAATATTTAGTAAAAGAGAATTATTAAGTAGATAATGTAAATTATATATTTAGAAAAAATTATTTTCCTAATTTTGTATATGATATATTACAAGGTTAATTTTTAATGAACAAAATCTTAAAAAGAAATTTTACCAGGAATTTCTGGATTTTCAATCACACCTCTAAAATATTTCAATTCTAAAAAATCCCTAATATTGTTTGGGCATGGTACTTGTCTGCCAGCAAACTCAATACTTGACATTGGATGAAGAAATTGCTCTGGAAAATCTTTATTATTTAAAAACCATGCATCTTTAACCATAGAACCATTTTTGACATAAAATGGAAGTATATTTACAGTTAAATGATTTATTTTTGAATACTGTACTTTAAAAAATTCCCCTTCTGTTGCTTTTTCCCAAACAAAACCATGATTATCAATAATAGGTTTATTCATAGCTTTAATTAACCATGGTGATCTTTCAAGATCATCACGATTTACTCCTATTTGTACTTCATGATCCCATGGTAAAATATCACCATTTCTCATAGCACCAAGTAAAGATCCACTTTCTAACCAAAATCTGATACCAACTTCTTCTAATTTATCAAATACATGATGAGCAACTTTCCTTAATCCTGAGAGGCAACAAGGTGGAGTATATCGATTTTGATAAAGATAAGAAGGAACACCATTTATGACTGATCCAAAACATCTAATACTTTCTCTAGAACATCCATACCATTCTATAGAATTGGAAGTTCTTATAACTTTTTTAATTCCCAATTTTTCAAACATAGATCGTTCACGATTTTGATATAATTGTTGTACCTTCCATTGAGTTTGCTGATTTTTATATAATGATTTTCCTTCATTAAAATTATAATTTGATAATATATGAATCTGGTAACATGTAATAAATTATCTACTAGAATCAATTTTACTAATATGTGCTTATGTATTAAATATTACTAATTGAATTATTTTTATTATAAATTAATTATTATAACATTTATAAAAATAAAAAACAAAATTTTTATATTCAAAATCATAAAGAAAACATCCCTTAAACTAACTAACTAATCCCTAAACTAAATATATAATAATTTATTTAAAATTTTTTCTTTTTTTAATATAAAATTAATTAAAAATAAAATTAAGAAAGTTCAAATTAAATTTAAGTTAAAATTAAATTAAAATTAAGAAAATACAAACCTTTGCTCCTAATGCAGTTGTTTGAATGTATAATGCATCCGTAAAAGGTAATAAGAAAGGATCAGTTAATTTTTTTAATAATTTAGTTTCAAGCATTGTAGCATGTTTTCCATTTACTCCATCACATTCATTACCAGTTATATATGAAAATTTGATACTCCATTCCTTAACTTTTAAATCTATATGAATGCAATTTAAAGTTACACTTCCTACTGGTACACTAACTATTCCTAATTTTGTAGCTTGTGATACAGTTTCCTATAATAATTTCAAACAATATTATATATACCATTGTATTTATTTATTATAATAATTATTAAGAATAAAATTTAAAAAATGCTTTAAAAGAGAATAATAAAAATATATAATATTTCTTACTTGTATGATTTGCTTAGTAGAAAGTCGACTACCATCAGGTAAAAATAAAACAAACTTTGTACGCACATAAAAAAGAGGATTTCTTTCATCATAAGATTTATTAAATTCCGGTTGCAAATTTATCAATTTAACATTTTGCATACTTTCATTTGCAAAGTTTAATTCCAATGGAGGATATGGCAATTCATTGCTTATTATTAAAATTGGTATAGTAGGAAAAAAGCTTAATATAGACTCTACAGTGGAAGTCACATCATTTTCAAAAGTTTCAAACTCTCGTATAACCACAGTTACTAATCGAGCTAATCGACGATGAAATTTTTGTGGAGGATCAGGAGTAACGATATTTGGTGTCAACAACCGTAAAGTGTTTTGTGTAGCAAATAACCTCCATATTCTATACCATATAATGATATTACCTAATAGTGCAAGCACTAATAACGTTCTTACAAACTTAAAGCGCATAATTATCGCGTGTTATGCGATACCATTGTAAATTAAATTTTCTTTACTTCATTTTTTTATGTATTATAATACTTCTAAATTACATTTAAATGTTTGATAAATCATATCTCTATATATTTCAATTTAATTCTCCTCAGCACTACCAATCTATCATTTTCCACATATAATATAAGAATAACACTAAAATATTATTTTTATATAATATTATTATTTAATAAATGTTCTTTATATTATTATAAAATCTTAATACTTCATATATTAAAAACAAAATCTTTATTTTGAAATTTAGAAAATTTAAAATCATTTGGCGCTATAATCTGGTGACATTATAAATATAATGTTTAGAATACTGCTTTACTGTTGTTTTTACATAAACGTCAAGATCTACATTTGTAGCATTCGGTGTTCTAATAAAATTAATAGGAAGATAGTACTTATTCTTTGATTGTTACATTATAATTTAAATAGATAAAAAATAGTGAAATTTAAGTACATTTTAAGAAAGAAATTTTTCTATTAGTGCACTATGCCTCTCCATCGTTATACTCATGCAGTTTTATGCAGAATTCCTCTTTCACTTCGTACAAGAGGCGAGGTCACATTAGATGAAGCTAGAACTCAACATTTGGCACTTGCTCAACTTTTGCGAGAACTCGATATCGATGTTGTTGAAATGCCACCAGATGAAAATTCACCGCTTTGTGTTTTTGTTGAAGATATTGCAGTTGTATGCAATGGTATTGCACTTATAGCTCGACCCAATGAACCGTCGCGTCTAAAAGAGGTATATTTATATAAAATTTTATAGAAATTAATAAATATTTTTAATTATTAATATTAATATTATTATTATTTTACAAAAAAAAGATTTTAATTCATTATATCTTTGTAAGAAAATCATATTTTAATATACATGTATAATAATATACATATATACATATCATTTAAAAAAAATAATTTAAATTATTTCTATGTATTTGCATAAAAAAAAATAAATTTATTATATTTTCATATGTAACATTATTATATTAGTAATGTTTTTAATATATGAATGACTAAACTGATGATGTAATTCTAGATTGAGACAATTAGAGCTGTTTTGAAGAAGGAATTGGAAATTCCTCTTATAGAAATAGCTGATAAAAATGCTCGTTTAGATGGAGGAGATGTTTTATTTACTGGTAAATTTTGTTTAATATTAAATTAATACTAAAAAAAAGAAATTATTATTTAAGAAATGTTTATAGGTCGTGAATTTTTTGTTGGATTATCTCATTATACAAATGAAGCAGGTGCAAGAGCAGTTGCAGCAGCATTTCCAGAATATCCTTGTGTACCTATTAAGGTTGGTAAATTATTGATTAATAATTATTAAATAATTAAATTGATAACTATTTAGTATAATTTGTATAGTTATTTGCTTCTTAAGATATATTAATCTTTGAATCTTCTATCTTCTATACAAATTTTTAATATTTCTTTATTCTGAAAATGTAAAATATATTGCATGAAAATTGTTTAATTAAATATTTCTTAAAATAAAAAGAATTAATGTTGTTTGCTTTATAACTTTATTCAATATTTTTATTTGTAGCATAACTTGTGTCATCAAAAGTATTATGTGTTATAAAGACATCAAAATGTATATTGTGATTGTTTTAGAAATATATATTTTTTTTGTTCTTAATATTTTCATGATATATGTTTATTTCTATATGTTAAAAATTTGTGATATGTAATAATATTGATATAATTATAATAAAATAAATATATGGGTAATTGTATCTTACATTTTATATACATATATTAATTTAATAATTATATATTTAATTCTATTATAGTTATTTGAATAAATAATATTTGAAATAAAAAATATTACTATGATAAAAAACATATTTAAAACATATTTTCATAAAATATTTAACACATATATATATTTACACATATTTATAAATATATTGGTTAAAAATATCATTAATTAAAATAAAAAAATCAAAGTTTTATTTTTCTGATGTTCATTTAAGGTGGGTGATGGTGGCGAAGAGGTGATAGTGGAGAGTCTTACCTCAGCCCCAATTCAGGTTTGGGTGTATTAGACTGACTCTCTTTTGCATATTATATTGAAAAAAAATTTCACAATTTAGAAACACAATTTTGCACGATTCCAACAAATTTATTTGTGAATATATTTTTTACAATTACCCATTGCAGATGTTTTACAGAATGCTTTCAAATGGAGTTTTATCTAGTATGTGAGTTATGGCTTAGTGCAATTTTGCACATGAGACACATACATACACTGATACACAAAACTATATTTCAATTTCGCATGTAATTAATATTTATAATATTTTGCATAAATTTGTCATGTTATGAAATTTTATAATGTAACTTTAATCAATTATATATAAAAAAAATGTGTAAAATATAAAAAAATTATATTTTTAAAACAAGAATATTTCATTTTCTTGAAATATGAAATTTTAATGATTGATTAAAGTTACATTATTTATTGCTCATAATATGCATAATATAAAGTCATAATCCAAATTAGTATATCAATTAATTTTCTTTTAGATTAATTTTCTTTATTTTTTTTTTCTTGCAATGCTATAAAAAGTAATATATTTTTATAATATATTTAAGAAATAATACTTTTTTTTTATGCTTTGTGTTAATTACAAAAAACAATTAGAAATTGATGAAAATAATGCTTAATTTATCTAAAAGTTTGTTTTATTAAAATAAAAACATTGATTATTTCTAATATAGTTAAAATATCATATATATCTAAAGGAGTTAATAATTTTCTATTTTATTGCATTTATGATTACATCATATATATTATTTAAAATTGAGAGTATGTGTATTTTTTATTCAATTATTATTTATAGGTTGCTGAATCCAAACGTCTTAAAGGTTTAGTTACAATGGCTGGTCCAGATATCATTTGTGTAGGTGCTGGAAAAGAATCTCAAGAAGTTTTAAAGGTATTTAATTGTAATCTAACAATGATTTTTTATTTGTTTATATATATTTATATATATATATTGTTTGTAATATAGAGAATTGAAAGAGAAGCAACTTATAGTTACCAAACATTAACTGTGCCTGAAGATGCTGCAGCCAATGTACTTTATGTGAATGGAACACTGATTCACAGATCAGAAGATGAAATTCCACAATCAAGTAAAGTTTTTGCAGAAAAAATTGAATTTCCAACTAGATCATTACGTATGTCTGAATTAGCAAAGGTTAGTTCTGGTTTGACTTCTTGTTGTTTATTAGTACGTAGACCCAGACATATTCGCAGTATTTAAATCAAGAATTGAAAGTATACCTAGCATCAATGCTAGAATTATATATTGATGTGAATTATAAAATCAAGAGTTTAAATATTTCTAATAGAAAATGATCAAAATGCTGTGCAAAAAACATTAACGTAATGACGTAGCACGTATACGTCGCTCTAAAACTTTAATAACTATTTTAATGTGAACAGAAAAGATTATTTTTTAATTATTTTATAAAAAAAATTATCTTAATATAAAAAAGATTTTATATAATTAAGAAGATTAATATATTTGATTTTAAGGTATTTACAGTAGAAATAATATATTAAAATTTTATTAATTTAATTTATAGATTTATATGATATAAAATCATTACACCTATCTTGCCATTTAATGTGAGATTTATTTTTTTTTAAGATTTTATCATGGCAACATTAGATATATATATATTTTTATATTTTAATGATTTCAAATATATTTTATGATCAATTAGTTATTACCTTATAATTTACTTGAATAATATATGAATGTTTACTCATAATAAATTTAATATCAAACTATAGAAATTCATATTGCACAAAATTTTTTTTAAAAAGACAAAAAATATTTTAAAAAATTAATTTATAAATTAAATAAATAAATCAAAAAATTTTAATGTAGCACAAAAAGAACAAAATCATAAAATTAAAATACAATAATAATAAACTACATCTATATCTTCTACTTTTGATATCTTGTGTTATATAAATAGAAATCAATTGTTAGACAGCTATTAAAAATCAATTATCAGTATTCTAATCTTGAATGCATTTGCTACTAGTCTATAAAAAGTGTTCACTTAATTATTCAAATAGAACTCTTTTATAATTCAATTATATACTGCAAAATTAATGATATATAAAAGCACTGATAGTTAAAAGTTAATGCTGATTCACATTATAGCAAAGTTATATGATTAAGAGTCTACTGAGCAAAAAAAAAAAAAAATAATAAAACTTGTGTATAAAAATAAATTTCATATATATACAATATATATTGCAACAAGCTTAAATTGTTTTGGCAGAGTTAATAACAGTAGAAAATTAATAATAGAATTTGCAGTACTATAATATAATTTTTTAATATTCTTTAAACTCTCTCTCTCATGACAATATTATAATAAGTTTATTGTATTTTTATATATTTTAATGTGAATTTTCATATTAATCCATATGTTTGTATTTTTATTATATTATTCTTTTTTTCTATTATAAAAGTATTGCATTTGTTTGAATTTTGTGATAAAAACAGTTTTGTAATGAATGTTTTATAAATTGTAACAATTGTAAATTAGATTTGATATTATTTAATATATTTCTTTAAAAAATTTTCCAAAATATATAGGCTATAAAATTGTAAACAAAATAAAAAATATATACTATATATGTTATAGTCTATAGTTCTAATTAATTTCCTTTTCAAAAATGTATATAAATATATTTATTATTAATTCAATTAATAAAATAATAGTTTTATTTAAAAAAAAGTTTATGTGAAATGTTTTGTACGAATAAATTAAAATATATATATATGCACGCTTGTGTGTGTGCGCGCGCGCGCGTGTGTGTCAAAAATTCATATATAATTTTATTTTCTTTATCTACATATGTATAAATAGATACCAATCGTTTTTAACACTAAATGTAAGAGAAGTATTTTCTTTTTCAGATTTGTGTTCTAAAAATTAATATTTGCTTATAAAAAAAATAATATAAATTTAAAATATTATTTAAATAAATTTAATATAATCTATTATTGAAATTTTAAATAATTAAACATGTAAGTAAACCATGTATTGTAAATTGTATTATTAATAATTATACAATTTATAATATATTATATTATTATTTATTTTAAGTATTTATAAGGATGTAATTTTTTTACAATTGGTGGATGGAAAACATTTCGAAATTTAGGAACAATTATTGTAACAAACATGTTGTTAAAAAAATAATACAGTCTTGCTGCATTTATTATATTCAAAGATTGATACTTACTAAACACATTTCAATATTACTACTAATTCATTCAAACATCTGCCTTTTTGATATAAACATATAAAGGCCTCTTTCTGTTTTTATTATATTCCGGCAGTTCATCTATTTTATTTCTTTGTCTCCGTATTCGTGATAATATTTTAAGTCATTGGTAAAATATTTTAATTAATTTCAATATCATATAATGCACAAGTCTTATTTATTTTATATTATTAAGAGTAAAAAGTTAAAACAGATGTGTGATTTCCTCGAACAAGTAAAAATGGTGGCATATCACGCGTTAAAGTTTCGAGCCAAGCCATATAGAGAGGTGCTGAAACAGCACCCTTTCGAGGCATTGGCAATGTCCTAAAGAAGAAATAAAATAAAATAATGATTTAAAATAATTAAAAAGTATCATTAAAAATATTAATTTGTTTTTATAATTTTACTTACATAACTACTAAATTAGCGTCCATTGAATTTTCAAGTAATAATTCTCTTAAACGTAGATGTCTATTTGTTTTTTCTTTCATAGCAATTAATTCAGAATCTTTGATAATATCTGAAAATAAATTAATTTTTAATCTTTTCCCATTCATAATTCAAAATATAATATATATAAAATTTATAAATATTTATAAAAATTTTATCAAAATAATAATACCATCATTCGTTATTTTTGTATTTTCTGTTTCTTGAAAATTTGCTATTAATGAATCAAAAAAACTTTTGGTAGTATTCTGTGCTGATTTTGAAATATCTGGTATAACTTTCAATGCAGAATAATCTATCCTGAATTTCGATAAAAGACTTGCCATACTAATAATAAAGCAATAGTATAATTAATAAATTTGTTTTATCTATTTTCATTTACAAGAATATATCTATTACTTACTTTCTTTGTTCATATTCGAGTTCAGAATTTTTATTTGCTAAGGCAAAAACTCTTAATTTATTATTAGACCAATTACGTCTTGTACTAATAATGTAGGGTAATAAAAGAGTTAAGCCACCGTCATCATACAGCCACCATACATCTATAGTACCCTTTTTTTGTTTACGTTGAAATTTTGTTACAGCATTAAGTATATCTTTCGCTATGGGTAGAAAATTTTGTCGATTTTCACGTTGATCTTCTGCCGTTGGATTAGGATATTCATTGATCATTTTAGATCTTCTTGGAGCTGGACTTCCAGGAATAGAAATATCTGATGTACTACTGGCTATAAAAATAAATATTAATTAAAAAAATATGATTAAAGAAAATGATTAAAAAATTAATTAAAGAAAACGTAAAAAAAAATTCAATATTTATGAAAAAAATTTTAAGTATTAAATATTGTATAAACCTTGGCTAAGTTGAGAAAAGCTTTGATTCCCTGGAATTGTTTGGACACTTTTCTTTTGTTCTTCAACATCTCCTATACTACAATCTAAACCTTCACTTATTCGAAGAAGGGCTACTGCTATATGCATATCTAAAGCTTTGCTATATAAAAAAAAATTATTATAAAATTTTTATTTTTTCTTAATTTGTTTATAAATTTATATTAATATGTATATATATGTACTCACTGCATTATATTAAAGTACATATTTAAATTTTCTCGAGGACAAGTTGCCCAGTCTTGCTTATAGCCCATTAATAAAATATTAGGCTTCATTTTTCCTAAACCAGCAGCTTGTAAAAGAGAAGTAGTGCCGTCTTGAAAATTTGCACCATCTACCAGAGAATAAAATGCCTTAATTTTATTTGCTCTAAACCAGGAAGTACAATTCGCAATCATGGAATTTCGCGTCTTATATGATATTGGTGTCTAAAATACAGAAGTTTAAATATATTATTATATAAAGAATGCATAATAATTTTAATTAAAAAAATACTTACCTCAATAATATGACCACAAATAAATAAACTATTATTTTTAGTAATATGATGTGCAAAATCAATAAGCGCTGATCTTGCACTTGGAGTGCCACTTAATACTAACAATTGAGGTCTATAATTTTTAACATGTTCTTCAACTCTATCTAATTGTTGAACAGCATTTAAGGCATTATTGTATGTTTGGGCTTGTGTTGTAGAACCCCAATTAACATCTATAAAATAATTATAATTAATTTATGTTATTTTTATGTTTGTCTTCTTATGGTAATTAAGATACTTATAAAATATTACCTGGTTTTCTATAAGAAACTATTAAATAAAGTGTTAATACTACAAATAATGTGATTAACGCTGTCCACCATGAGATCAAGAACATCACAGAAACACAGAGAATAGCACCAGCAAGACTTAGCCACATATTATAATACTAAAATAATAACATATAAAATACATATACATATAACATATAAAAAAAATCATTTTATCATTAAAATAAATAATTTTTTTATTAAATTTAATGCAAATTTTACTTTAAACGTTGGTCTCCAACCAATTGGTTTTGCCAACGAAGCATGAAAAGTGCTAAAATTAATAAGAGTGTAGGCAGCCAAGAAAAAATTTGAGATCAAAGGAGCTATAGCATTCAATTCTCCTGAAATGAATAAAAATTTTTATTTAAAATAATAAATATTAACAAATAATTTGCTTATTTATCAAAAATATAAAAGCATAACGCTTACCGATTAAAATAAAACCAACTGCGATTATAAAAGTGAGAAGATAACCACGAATTGGTTCTTTGTCTTTGTCGCCGCTAAACCATGCTATTCCAGGATATAATTTATCGAGACAAAGTGCCTGAAATACTTTAGGTGCGGAAACCAGTGATGCTAAAGCGCTTGATAGAGTAGCTGCAAAACATCCAGCATAAATAAATGGTCCAAATGCAGAAACCAATTCGATCACCTGAAATAGTTTTTTATGAAATTACATAAAATTTATATTTTAATATAAAATTTAAATATTTATTTATGCTTTTTATTTTTACATAATTTAAAAAAAAATACCTGAAAACTATTATGGCTACCATATTGACAATTTCCTGTACAATTAAATTTTGTACTATATATACTCCATACTATTTGATTGGAATTTACAATAATTGAAGATTCGGTTGTTTCATTAGTCGTGTTCGAACTTGATAAGGCAGTATATGAATTATTGAAAATGTTCCACAGATCATTAACATCACCAGATGCATCTCGCATAACTGAGCCGCCCACCATAAGCGCCATAAAGAGGTAAGATATAGTTGTTAAAAGAATAGCTAACAATGTTCCTTTAGGAATGGCCGTTTGCGGATCCTAAAAAAATTTTATCTATAGATTATAATAAATTATATTATATTTAAAAAGTTGATTTTGGAAAATAATATTTACAATCAAAATACAACGAAATATAAATTTAAATGCTTGATATGATACGATTAAAAACTTTGGTAAAATTTTAAAATATTATAATGTATATATTTCCTATAGATGAAAGATCTAAATCACCTTCAAATCCCCGGATATATTCGCACCTGCCAGGATACCTGTAGCCGCAGGGAAAAAAATAGCCAAGACTGAAAAAAAATTATGCTTCACTCCCTCACTATATCTGTAGTCCGGATAAAAGTTCTCCTTAAATAGATCAGCTGTGAATATAAAATGAAATTTTTGAAATTCTCTACAACATTCTATTTGTATGATATGTATTATCGATATTGATTTCATTTAATTACAATTTATTCTTTATTACAATTTAATTATTAGTTTCTAAACAAGCAATATCTTTATCAATTATTATCATATTACCGTTGTATCCCATGAATCCTTTAGCCCGTTCTTGATCATCTTTAGGTCCAATAAAAGTGCCGATCATAAAATCAGCAATAGCTAAAAGCAATATAATCAGCAAACCAATTTGAGCTTTGGCTTCCCATTCCAATCCAATCATAACGATTAAAAGTAACAGAACTATCGTAATACAACCTATGGAAAAAGAAATTCTATTGTAATTAAAAAAAAAATCATATTATATAATTTTTTATACTGACCTATAATTCTAATATCCGTATTGTCGCAATCAA